CGGTTATGCTCATGTCGCGTCCGACGTGCTCCAACAGAGAATCCCACGCGTACTCCGCGATAAGCGCAGGCGTCCCGCCAGCCGATACAAAAGAAAAGAAGCGCATGCGTCATGCCACTTGTGCACCGTCGCAATCGCCCGCATCCCGCCAGCGATGCACCGTCAGAAACGCGCGCCTCCCGCAGCAGAAAAAACAACGTGAAGCTCACCCGCCCCGCCGGACTCCTACCGGTTAGCTGCGAGTTCAGAGAAGCGGGCCGAGGGGGGCGGGTTGGTAGGGAGGGGAACGCGAGGTGCAAGGAAAAACCACATGGGCAGCATGGTGAAGGAAGGTCGCAAGCAGAAAAACATCTAAGGAAAAAATCGTCACGCCACATAACCCACGGCAGGCAGCGAGTTTGACATTTTCGTCGCTGACATATCAGATGTTGCAACCGCGACGTCGGACCCATCGTAACTCCATCCAAGTCGCATGACCAGCTCCGCACGTGGGAGAGCATCCTGCGACGAAAACGAACACACAAAAGCAAAACAAGCGCACTTATGCCCCATACAAGGGGTGGCAGAGTGGGCGAGAAACGTGGGCATTAATAGCCGGCGAAGCAAACACATAGAATCCGAGCTTGCAGAGTATGGCTGCCGCTGCGTACCTAGGTGAGCTCGTTTCGGGCGATATCCGCGGGACTGCCATGCTGTCTCGCTGTGCAGCCAGCAGAGCCAGCACTGTTTGAAAGGAGGTGTTCACCAGGAGGAAACAGTCAGTGGGAGAACGAGGATAAAGGGGTTGCCGTGCCAAAACATACTAGTGTGCAAGAAACTCATTGCTGTCTGGACAATAAGCAGGATGGGAGAGAGAACTCCAGGGGCCGGTCAGTGTGATGGCTCAGGAGGGCGTCGTTGGTGCTGGCCTCTCAAGGGATGGTTGTGCCACGTGGACATCAGCAACACGGTGGACTGGTTGGTACAAAATTTGACGAGTGTACAGGTGGGTAGGACGTGTGACGAGGAGTTGAGCATCGGATACATATAGAATGTACACTACAATGGCTTTTCTCGAAGTGCTTAGCCGATGTTGTGTTACCAAACTGCCCACAAGCATCGCTCGCACCTGTGAATGTCGCAAAAAAAATGCCGAGGAAATGTGGAACAATTATCACTCATGGGAAATATTAGCGCCTCTAAAGTTTCACCCCACAGAACGTCTACCCGAACGGACCAATTAAAGACGCCCATTTGACAACCTCCACAAATACAACCCACTTGAATCCCTGATCTTCCCTCTCCTGGCCATGTACGATCAGTCAAACTGGATCAAAATGGTGCCGCTGCCAGAGAAGTCCCATGCCTTCGCCGCCTCGTCGAAACGGGGTCGCCCGGCTGGACCGGGTTTTGCGATTGCAGCTTTGCACCAGGCCGTTACCCTCTTGAAGTACACGTTCGTCAAGTTAATGCCGTAAGAAGAGCTGTGCTTCAGGTCCGCGCCCTTGTTAAGGATGTGGTGCTCAACCTGAACGAAACGGAGGAGAACAAAGGCTGAGCCCCTGGCAAGAGACCACAAACAATTAACTCATGGGAGCTAGAGTAGCTACACTCACCCCCATCAGAAAATAGGCGATGTGGTATAGGCGAACCACGGTTGGGGTGGGCTTGTATCTGAACAGGGCAGCCTTGATTGCTGCCTCGAAGGCTTCATGCGTGAAAGGGATGCCGTCCTTAGCATTGGGGATACGGTGCCATGTCAAGAGGTCATGGCTATCCGCATCTGTGCAAGCAAATAAAGAGGATATGATTGGTGAGTGCCCCACACCAGCGTCAATATATTCAGCATAAGCACGCCTCCATGCAGGTTTGTAGAAACACCACTTACCAACAGCATACTCCTTCAGGAAATCCTCAACGCTTTGGGGGCTGCCCCGCACGATAGGAACGCGTGCGCGAGTGTGCTGGGGAATGGCAAATGGGAGGCCAAAGGTAAGGAAAATCCAAACTCGCGCCTGGTCCAGGGTGTTGGCGCGCAGTGCGCTGAATCGGTCTCTGAAGAACCCACTCCGCACCGGATCATTGCGCAAAGCAATGTGGATCCTGTAAAGTGCCTCTTCCGTGACCATCATCAAACACTCCTGAATGGTTCTCTCCACCACCTCGTCCGAGGGCCACATGCTCATGAAACGCGAAGGCGTGCCGTAAACTAGGCGGCTGATAACATCGCACACAAGCCCCTGTGGTGCCACGGGATGGGGTAATCGACATGTGCAACAACATGGGTAGCAATAACATGGCTTGAACGGCAAACAAGGAATCATGGCACGGATTGAAGGGAGATTGTGCACTGAAAAAAGGGCGGATGCCATGGCATAGCTGGGGACACTCCAACAAGTCCGTAGCAATGGCAAGCGTGTGTAAGCAAATATGGAATGGATGAAAGCCATGGCAAGCAGAGTGGGAACATAAAACCACGCTGGTGCCATGGCAAGCAGAGTGGGCACAGATAACCACTCTGGTGCTGTGGCAAGCAGAGTGGGTTCATAAAACCACTCTGGTGCCATGGTAGGCAGAGTGGGACCAGAAAACCACTCTGGTGGCATGGCCATCAGAGTGGGTTCAGAAAACCACTCTGGTGCCATGGCAAGCAGAGTGGGCACAGATAACCACTCTGGTTCTCTGGCATGCAGATTAGGTTCATAAAACCACTCTGGTGCCATGGCAGGCAGAGTGGGTTCATAAAGCCACTCTGGTGCCATGGAAGGCAGAGTGGGACCAGAAAACCACTCTGGTGGCATGGTCATCAGAGTGGGTTCATAAAACCACTCTGGTGCCATGGCAAGCAGATTGGGTTCAGAAAACCGCTCTGGTGCCATGGCAGGCAGAGTGGGCTCGGAAAACCACTCTGGTGGCATGGCCATCAGAGTGGGTTCATAAAACTACTCTGGTGCCATGGCAAGCAGATTGGGTTCAGAAAACCGTTCTGGTGCCATGGCAGGCAGAGTGGGCTCGGAAAACCACTCTGGTGCCATGGCAAGCAGATTGGGTTCAGAAAACCGCTCTGGTGCCATGGCAGGCAGAGTGGGCTCGGAAAACCACTCTGGTGGCATGGCCATCAGAGTGGGTTCATAAAACCACTCTGGTGCCATGGCAAGCAGATTGGGTTCAGAAAACCGTTCTGGTGCCATGGCAGGCAGAGTGGGCTCGGAAAACCACTCTGGTGCCATGGCAAGCAGATTGGGTTCAGAAAACCGCTCTAGTGCCATGGCAGGCAGAGTGGGACCAGAAAACCACTCTGGTGGCATGGCCATCAGAGTGGGTTCATAAAACCACTCTGGTGCCATGGCAAGCAGATTGGGTTCAGAAAACCGCTCTGGTGCCATGGCAGGCAGAGTGGGACCAGAAAACCACTCTGGTGGCATGGCCATCAGAGTGGGTTCATAAAACCACTCTGGTGCCATGGCAAGCAGATTGGGTTCAGAAAACCGTTCTAGTGCCATGGCAGGCAGAGTGGGACCAGAAAACCACTCTGGTGCCATGGCAGGCAGAGTGGGCTCGGAAAACCACTCTGGTGCCATGGCAAGCAGATTGGGTTCAGAAAACCGTTCTGGTGCCATGGCAGGCAGAGTGGGCTCGGAAAACCACTCTGGTGCCATGGCAAGCAGATTGGGTTCAGAAAACCGCTCTGGTGCCATGGCAGGCAGAGTGGGCTCGGAAAACCACTCTGGTGGCATGGCCATCAGAGTGGGTTCATGAAACCACTCTGGTGCCATGGCAAGCAGGTTGGGTTCAGAAAACCGTTCTGGTGCCATGGCAGGCAGAGTGGGCTCGGAAAACAACTTTGGTGCCATGGCAAGCAGATTGGGTTCAGAAAACCGCTCTGGTGCCATGGCAGGCAGAGTGGGACCAGAAAACCACTCTGGTGGCATGGCCATCAGAGTGGGTTCATAAAACTACTCTGGTGCCATGGCAAGCAGATTGGGTTCAGAAAACCGTTCTGGTGCCATGGCAGGCAGAGTGGGCTCGGAAAAACACTCTGGTGCCATGGCAAGCAGATTGGGTTCAGAAAACCGCTCTGGTGCCATGGCAGGCAGAGTGGGACCAGAAAACCACTCTGGTGGCATGGCCATCAGAGTGGGTTCAGAAAACCACTCTGGTGCCATGGCAAGCAGATTGGGTTCAGAAAACCGTTCTGGTGCCATGGCAGGCAGAGTGGGCTCGGAAAACCACTCTGGTGCCATGGCAAGCAGATTGGGTTCAGAAAACCGCTCTGGCGCCATGGCAGGCAGAGTGGGCTCAGATAACCACTCTGGTTCTGTGGCACGCAGAGTGGGTTCATAAAACCACTCTGGTGCCATGGCAAGCAGAGTGGGACCAGATTACCACTCTGGTGCCACGAATGGGAGCCCAAATCTGGAATGGGTGATAGCCACGGATGGGCTAGGATGAGATGGCACCTGAGAAATGACATAGCACCAGAGCATGGCCCGAATGAGACGCCTTCGGCATAGTGCACTGGTGAGCAAGTAGGTTCAATACGCTCACCTTATAGCCATTGTGCATGTCGGGTATTTCGGCAAGAGCCACGATGAGGCGTTGCGCCCATGTCAGCTGGTTCGGGGTCAAAGATTCAAGAATGGCAGGCGTGCTCCTCACGCGGCACTCTGCCGAAATTGCCCGCATCGCTGCCAAAGAGAGAGGCCTCCTCTCCCTTGGTGCAGCGCGCTGGCTTGGATTGTCTTCACCCACGGCAGTAGCAGGGTTAGCCTCGGTATCCTCGTCTGCAGCCTCTCCAGCAGCGTGGGCGGATTCTGCTGCCTTGCGTTTGCGTGCCTCCCTTCGCTGCTTCAGTCTGCATTTTGCGTGATCTCCACCCGCTGGTTTTGAAAACTCCTCACACGGTGGCTGTGGTTCCTCTTGCTCAGGCACATCGGGCAGTGGCGCTTCCAGCCAGGGACGTGCGCACGGGCGAGCAGTCGGCCTGCTATGCCCGAGCAGCGGTCGGCCACCACGGAAGCCCAGCATTTTCCAGTGTGGAGTACCGTGGAGGGGATTCAGAGCTGCGGTATGGCAAGTTGGTCCTACTGTTGCGTGCCAAGAAGCTGGGTGCGGACCTGGGAGACGCTGAGCGTGAGGTGGCATACATCAAGCCATGGAAGCGGGTTGGTGTGGATGGGCCTACAGGCTGTGTGCAGCTCCAAGAGATGAGTAGGCCCGAGGCTCACGATGTTGTACCTATTACCAGCATTGTCCGCACTGTGCATGTTGTGAGGTCGTTTGAGCGCCCACGCATATGGCTGCTGAATAAATGGGCCGATGGGTTGCGAAAAGGTGGGGTGTGAGTTCTCGCCAATGTGTGAGGCTCATGTGACGTCTTGATATTTCCTGTAACGGTTTGTACTGTTGCTCGGGTTGTTGTGGATTGTTGGGGCTTAGTCGCCGATTTTTGTTGGACGTGCGTGTGTGTCATTTTGAGTTGCGTAGTATTACTCTCTAGCATTCATTTGAAAAAAAGGACAACAACCTTGTCTGATTGACTGGTATATCATCCCAATAGCCATTGCATCAGAACCGCCAATTGGTTTAGTACTCTATTCGAGTCATACAGAAGTCGCGAATGCGGGGCTCATTTGTGGGCCTGTGGGCCGAGCCTCGGGTGGTGCCCAGGTCCGTGTCGAGCCTGTGAAGTAACCCACAAGTCTCAACGAACGGAAATCACACCCTATTGGCTGGATCCAACCCGCGCGATGCTGGGCGAGATTCTGGCGAATTTCTCGGCTGTCGCCACTAGCAACATGTGACCCTGCGGGGTCTTGTGGGGAACTTAGGGTTGTCTGGGGGTGGGTAACCCACAGGTGTCCCACTCCCCCCAGGTCGAAATGCCTTTCGGGATTTTTGGGATGAAGACTCGGCGGAATGGCATTCGCGGACGACCACCTGGAGGGGAGAAATAAGCGGAAGGAATTAGTCAACGGCAAGATCAGGCTACGCGTGCAGAAGACAACCGTGTACGAACGAGAGACGGGGGGTGGGGGAGAGTGGGGGGAGTCGCATCCAGCCCAAGGGACCAACACCTCGGAGTTGAGATTGACACCTAAGCAGACACGCAGACGGAATGACTGACAGACAGCGGTTAGCGAGCGACGCTAAAGAGAGAAGTAACCCGCCTTAAGGAAGAGACACAAGGAACCCCGAGGGTGGGCCTTGGGCTGGAGCGACAAGGAGCGAGATGCATGATGCATGATGCCGAAAGATAAATAGCAGCGTTGATGGAGGAAGGTGAGAGTGCTTAGCTCTGCGAAGTATTGAGCAGCCGAGGAGCTCGAGCAAGACTGCCGCGAAGGCAGGCTGAAGGACGATGTTGACAGCAGGCATTGACAGCAGGACGATTTTCGTATCAGACGCCATGGATAGGACATGGTCGTATCATCAATGTGAGAAATGTGTTGAACGTTTCGCCACAGATCCGTCCTGCAGATCAGACAAGTAAGCTAGTCAGGGGGATGATAAATCGACGTGATAAAAAAAAAAAAAACAAGAGGCGACGAAATCGTCTTAGGGTTGCGGAGCTCTATTGTATAAAAAAGACGAAAAATAAATACTTTTGCTAGTATACAATTCAGAAATAACCCAAACCCGAAGTACACAACATTTAGAAGTGTATGTAAATGAAAAAAATTCTGTGTTTTTATATTATTTAAATTATGAACATGTCACGACTGCCAAGCGTAAAAACCGCCACCTAGAGTTGGTTTTTCTATTTCCATGTTTTAGATTCTTATGTTACTTTTCTGTATTGTTTATTATTACGCTTCAATTCTTACTTTATCTCGTTTTCGTTTTCGTTTTAGTATCGTCTTTCTCGATACTGTGCGATCTGATTTCCATGCCCGGTGGCGAAAGTTGCCACCTGGCAGATTTTGTTTTTTTGCGGCTAGTGGCGAGGCTCGTCACGCGCACAATTTATGACGGAAAATACTGTAGCCGTCCAGTGACGTCAAATTTGTTCTGCCACCCGTTCGGATTTTTTTTCGTCAAAGCGATCCGGCTTTTTCAACGACACGAATTACGAGGGCGTATTTTAAATTTCGAATTTCATTGATTTCCACCGATTAGTTGGTTATGGAACTGGCAATACGCGAAACAATGAATTTCGAACTCATAGTTCCGTAGTATTGAATGTAACACGTACAATTAGTCAAATAGATAAAACACGCCCTGACAAGTTCGAAAACTATTTCACAAATTGCAATCTGGCTGGGCAGTTTCTGATGGAAACGAGAAAATAGATTGAACTTCCTTCAGAGCTGCGAGAGTTTGGCCGTTCCACCCACATTCTCCAACTTTTCTTTCTCCCTCTCACACAATTCTTCCTCCATTCCTCAATCTCGGGAAATGACTTTTCAACTTTATTTCAAGGTACGGATTCTACCTGTCAAACATGTGTAGTCGTAATGTTTGTATAGACTGTATAGGGTCACTTCTTAGAGGGTACAATTCTTAGGTATATCTTTCTGTACTCTCTCACTAGTCATTATTCTCTTCTCCAATTCTGATATGGTATCACGCGTAGGTAGGATCCCCCCCCCCCCCCACCTACCGCTTCCGCTCGCCTCCCCCCCCTAGCCCCGTCGTGCCCCTAGCCCCGTCGCGACCCCCCTAGCCCCGTCGCGCCCCTTCCTGGGCCCCGTAGCGCCCCTCCTGGGCCCAGTAGCGCCCCTCCTGGGCCCCGTCGCGCCCTTCCTGGGCCCCGTCGCGCCCCTCCCAAGACCCGTCGCGCCCCCCCTGGGCCCCGTAGCGCCCCTCCTGGGCCCCGTCGCGCCCCTCCTGGGCCCCATAGCGCCCCTCCTGGGCCGCGTCGCGCCCTTCCTGGGCCCCGTAGCGCCCCTCCTGGGCCCCGTCGCGCCCCTCCCAGGCCCCGTAGCGCCCCTCCTGGGCTCTGTAGCGCCCCTCCTGGGCCCCGTCGCGCCCCTCCTGGGCTCCGTAGCGCCCCTCCTGGGCCCCGTCGCGCCCCTCCTGGGCCCCGTAGCACCCCTCCCGGGCCCCGTCGCGCCCTTCCTGGGCCCTGTAGCGCCCCTCCTGGGCCCCGTCGCGCCCCTCCCAGGCCCCGTCGCGCCCCTCCTGGGCTCCGTAGCGCCCCTCCTGGGCCTCGTCGCGCCCCTCCTAGGCCCCGTAGCGCCCCTCCTGGGCCTCGTCGTGCCCCTCCTGGGCCCCGTAGCGCCCCTCCTGGGCCGCGTCGAGCCCCTCATGGGCCCCGTCACGCCTTCAGGCCCCGTCGCCCCCGCCCGGCCACGTCGCACCAGCCCGGCCCCGTCACGCCCGCCCGGCCCCGTCGCACCCGCCCGGCCCCGTCGCCCCCTGCCCGGCCCCGTCGCCCCCTGCCCGGCCCCGTCGCAGCCGCCCGGCCCCGTCGCACCCGTCCGGCCCTGTCGTGCCCGCCCAGCCCCGGTGCGCCCCTCCTGGGCCACCGTCCTGCTCGCCCGGCCCCGTCTCACCAGCCCGGCCCCGTCGCACCAGCCCGGCCCCGACGCACCCGCCCGGCCCCGTCACACCAGCCCGGCCCCATCGCGCCCGCCCGGCCCCGTCGCAACCGCCCGGCCCCGTCGTACCAGCCCGGCCCCGTCGCACCAGCCCGGCCCCGTCGCGCCCGCCCGGCCTCGTCGCACCCGCCCGGCCCCGTTGCACCGGCCCGGCCCCTGCTCTCGTCCCTGCCCCGGACCCGGTCCTCCTCACTGGTACGCCCCCCCCCCCCCGCACTGCCCTGCACTGCCCTGCCCTGCACTGCCCTGCACCGTACTGCCCCGCACTGCACTGCCCCTCACCACCCTGTCCTGCCTGGCACCGTACTGCACCGCCCTGCGCCGCACTGTACCGCACGGCACTGCACTCCACCTTGCAACACTGCCCTGCACCGCACTGCACTGTTCCTGATGGCGGCGGAGCTTCGCTTCGACGCTGAAGGCCAGCCCCTGGAGTTCGAGGCGTGGCTTGCAGACCTCCGTCGCCTACTCACTGGCCAGCGACAGGATGGTGAATCGCTTTCCGCACACCTTGACGGTACGCTCCCCTGCCCAGACCCCCTTGCTATTCTGCCCGCTGACTCCACACCCACTGAGCGCGAGTCCATTGCTGCCACTGCCCGTGCGCGCTCTGTCTGGCTTTCTCGCGATGCTGTCGCCCAGCTTGCCATTAGCAACGCCCTTCCCCCGTCCGAGCGCCCTCGCTTTAGGTCTATCACTACTGCCCAGGCATACTTAGATGCTGTCATCCAGCGCTATTCCACCCCTCCGGCTGCCTCGGTGGGTCGCCTGATCCTCCCGATGCTCTTTCCTGACCTTGCATCTTTCCCCACTGTCTCTGACCTCGCTGCCCACCTGCGCTCGATAGATGAGACCTGGCGCGCAGCCTGCACTGATGCACAGCTTTGAGCCCACCAGCCGCCCATTACCTCTACCCTTTACCTGCTTGCCACCTGCCTCCCTGACCGCCTTGCTGTCGCCCGCGACCGCTTCTTTAGCATTCACCCCGCAGACCTCACCCTCACTGACTTTGTAGACACCCTGACTGTGATAGAGACCCGTCACCGCTCCATCGCCCAGGCGAGCGGTGTCGTGCCGGTCCCTGTCTTTCAGGGTTGTGCCCCCGCCCAGTGTACCTTCTCCGACGACTCTGCCGCAGTGGCTGAGACTGCTGCTGCAGCGCAGTTTCGTTCGGGGAAGGGCCGCCGCCCCAAGGCTGGGCGCGGCGGCGACGGCGGCGGGGGTGCGGGAGGGGGTAGTGGTGGTGTCGGGTCGTCTGGTGCTGGAGTGGACGAGGGGACCCTGCCCAGTCCAGCTGAGCCGCCGCCCCTGCAGTTGCAGCAGCCGCAGCAGCCGCCGCAGCAGCCGCCGCAGTCGCAGCCTTCGCAGCAGCCGTCGCAGCCGCGGCAGACGAGTATCCTCCCGCCCGGGTGGCCCGGCGCTGGCGGTGGTCGGGCGCGTGGTGGTGTGCCGAGTGGTGGCTCTGGCGGCGGGCGTTGTCAGTACCAGATCCAGACCGGTCCTCGCCGCGGCTTCGTCTGCGGTAAGATCGGTCACTCCACTCCCCGCTGTTTTCGTCGCCTGGACGACCTCTTTCGTCAGCGCTTCGGCCCGTCGCCAGACCTCCCGGGCTGGCACAATTTGCTTAGTCGTAAGATTCAGATTTTTGATATGGACATGGATGCCATTGTTTCTGCTCTGCATTTGATGTATGCTGATGACTCTAGTGTGCTTCCCGCCTATTACTTACTGTTGCCTAGTGTAGGTGTGCCTAGCTTAGCCTCCCCTGCTGCGTCAGGCGTAGGATCCCCTGCTTTGTGTAGTCTTGGTGCTTCCGCCGTCGTTCCGTCGCCAGATGCCTCTGCTTCGCTTTCCTTCACCTTGGACTCTGGCGCTTCTCGGTGTTTCTTCCGCGACTCCACCACCCTGACGCCGCTTCCTGTTCCAGCTGCCGTTTCTCTTGCTGACCCCTCCGGCGGTCCGGTAGTCGCCCGCAGT